GTGTTTTTTGTTTATTTGTCTGGGAAAAACACATAAAATCTACTACAGGCCTCGGTCTGATCAAACCTTGTGGGTTTGTGGAGCACTAGGAAAAACACACACACACACACAAAGACTCCAGGGATTCATTTAAGGGGTTTACTTAAAAGTTGTCCAAATTAAAGCTCTAATCCTGGTGGAGTATGTTCTATGAGAGCCTCTCTGTTTGGCTTCTGTCAGTCCTGTCAACCTTTGAGCAAAGGTTAGCTTTCTAAATTTGTGTAAACCTGTTCACACTACGACATTTAACAAAAGAAGCATTTTCAATTCTTTTTTTTTTTTTTGCAAATGTGAGTCGGACATTTATGTTCTTGAAACAGCGGGAATTTTAACCTTGGAACTTGCCCAACATCTTTGTTGCTGTTGAACACTGACTTGAAGTGCTTTAGATGTTGTTGGATCTTTAGTGACCTCTTGGATGAGTCGACAAATCGCTCTCGGAGTAATTTTGGTAGATCACCCTTTTGTCACTGTACAATGTTTCACCATTAGTAGATAATGGTTCCTAATGCTGTTTTCTGGAGTTTGAAAGTCTTGCAACCATTTCCAAACTAACAGAAGGCAACAACTTTGCTTCTCATCTGTTGTTCAAATTCTTTAGATGTGCTGTTTTTCGTTTAGCCTACTTCATATTGCCAGGCAAGTTCTAGTTACATTTTACTCTTGCTATCTTTGCGTGACAAAAATGTTTAATGAGCTGAAATATTTAAGTGTGAAAAAGAAGCGGAAAATGAAAGTGCTCAACCTTAACAGCACTTTGTAAAGGAAAGATCTGTAATGAGTTGAATGGATTAAAAGTATTTAAAAGCTCTCCGTCAATATGTTCTTCAAAAAAAAAAAATAAAAAAGAGTATGCGAGGCAAAAATAAAGCGAAACTTCTCCTGCCAAAAAGGAAAACTGTTGAACACTGTGTATTTCTACGACTCGCCTCAGAACGTTGGTGTCTGTGAACGGAGGAGCCGGCAGGCCTGCATAGTCCTGGTGACCCCTGCTGCAAGTCAAACTAAACACTCCAACATTAAAACCAGCAGGACAGCCAGCATCTGAGGTCTGCACAAGCAGGCTGCAGAAATCACACACACAAAAAAATCAAAATGTGAAAAGGAAAAAAAAAAAAAAAAAAAAAGCTAAACTATTTTGGCAGATTCGTGTGTTTACATCCTGAACTGGATGTGATTTGGCTTGGCTGCAGCAAAGCACAACTGAAGAGCATGCTTTCCCGCTCTTCCTGTTCCTAACTCTACCGTTCTCGGCCTCCTTTTCTTTTCTGTTTGTTTTCATTCTGTCTCTTTATAAATCTCCCCGGGGCATATGATTACTAAGGTGGCAATTCTAGATTAAAAAAACAAAATATTTTCTACTATTTTTTTTTTTTTTTTAATCTGATTACCGTTATTCAATGCTGCAAGTCTAAGGATGTTTTTCTGTTTTTAAGACAAACTGAGGATCGTTCACAGTGATCCAGTGTGTTCCAAGCATCTGACTTAAAGCCCTGAGCAAAGCGTGTCCTACCTTTGGAGACACGGTGTCATTGTGTGGTGAGGAAATCTGGCTTGAAGATACCAAATACCAACACCTTAATATTTGGTACTGACATTAAATGTGATGTGTTTCCAGCAGCTGTACTGATCTACTTTGGTAAACCGTCAAAGTATCAATCGTCTTAAAAGTTTCAAAGCTGATTGTGGTTGAACTCCTAATTCTTATATTTTAGCTAGATCTTTGGAAGAAATAGAAACTAAATATTGGCCAATTACAAATTTCTTCTCTTCTTTTATCACAAGACAAGATGCAGTTTTGAACTTTTTTTTTAAAGAGTTTAATTCCATGAAACCCAGACTCAAGAAATCACTTAAAAAGAACCTTATTGAAAAACATGAAGTAGGCCGACAGGGCATCAAGGCCCATCAATCTAAAGAAATTCACCAGAGCCGACGGTGACCAAAGGAACACAAAAGCCCGTTTCATAATTGCCAAAAACCGTCTTGATGATCCTCAACTCTTCTGTGAAAATATTCTGCAACCTAATGGGACAAAACTGGAACTTGTCTTGTTACATTTGACCTAAAACCAGCACAGACTTCCAGAAACAAAAAAACGGTTATGTTGTCAGTAAAACGTGGTGTTATGTTATTATGTTGTATATTTACATAAAAACTTTTGTCTAAAGCCTGACGGCTGATTTGGTCGTCATGGGTGATGTAACCACTCATTAGGTTTAGGCGGTAATTTAGGCGAGGTTGGTTTTGAACTTTATAGAAACTCATGTTACCTTTATCTGATATTACATTTTTTGATGACTTATAAGCACAGCATGTCACTTTAAATGTACTTTGTCCATTGACAGTGATGTGTTTGGCTCCCAGTTCAATTTTAGCTCAGGCCCCAATGCAACTTGTAAACAGTTACCACGGCTACAGCAGAACCTGTCATCTAAAACTTTCCCTGTATTTTCACCTGCTAATTGATTAGTTACATAAACTAAAACTTTTGGGTTAGAATAAGGATATATGTTTGCATAAAACCTATTTATTCACCAGGTAGAGAATATTTCAGCATACCTTGCAGCCTGTGGCCAAAATACACCCACCTATACTAAGTGCAACATTTGCAAAAGCTCCTAAAAATAAAGGTGTACTTAAAATAATTATGTGGGATGTTTTGCTTAAGAAGAGCTATATTTTCGGTTACTGAGAAACAGAAGGCGAATGCACGCGACTAACAACTTTTTTTTTTTTTTTTTTTTGTCAAATGTGTATGGAATCAAGGAGAAGTTTTGTTAAAAATAGTTTCTAACACTCAGAAGTTTTGGAAGTGGAAATAGGTGCGGCCTGCTCTGACAATTTCTTCTTCGGCAAAGATCTCAGTAACTTGCAGAGCTCAGCCACATTATTACGCCCAACATGGTGTTTTGTCACATACACACACAAACAAAAAAAAAAGGATACTCAAGTTTTGACAAAGCATAAAGCAGATGCCGAGGTGGCAAATAAACTCCGGACCGAGAGAGAAGATGAGCAGAAATGTCTGATTCTGCAAAAGCGGTTGCTACGCTTGAGGACAGCGTCAAAGACAATCTGGAGGATTGTTGCAAAAAAAAAAAAAAAAAAAAGTTGAAAATGGCACTAAAAATATATGAGCTCACTCGTAAATCCTGCAGACACTCAGAGCCAGTGTGAGATATCATGAGAGGAGCTTTCTCTCACACTCTCTGTACTTGACTCCTACACACACTAGTATCAACAGGAAAGAGACAGCCAATGAAACTAATTGGGTGGTGTGTGCCTTATGAAAAGAACAGTCTGTACTGTCCTCGACTCCCTCCCACAGCTCTCTGACTGGCTGGAGGCTAAGTGGTCTGCTTTTCTTCACTCTGCCGTGATTGGAGCCCGGGAATGCCAATAACTAGAAACTTTTTTTCCCTCTCTTTTTTCTCCCCCCCTCCCCACACCCTCCTTTCCTCAGGACATACCCGTGTTGTTTTTTAACTTCAGACTGAAGGGATTCAGTAGTCACGGCCTGCACTCTGCTGCCGCTTCCATGCACAAAATGCACGCTATTTTTCTTTTTGGTCCAAAAAAATTAGTTTTATCTATTAATCTCTGAACTTAATTTGAACCTTATGGAAGAGTTGTCGAATAGTAACAAATGTCTAAGTCAAGACAAAAGTCACATCTCTTAACTAATGTAGCGATTAAATCTTACATTTTGTTCACACTGAATGGTGCTTCCAATAAAGTAAAATATACAATAGCAATTATTTGGCTCAGTTTAGCAATTTTATTTATTTATCTTAAAAAAAATGATGAAAATATATACTTACAAGAATGCACAAAATGTTGCTTTGGAAAGCTAAACATTAACCCACAAAAAAAAAAAAAAGACAAAAATAAGTTAGTATAGCCTTACAGTGTTTTTCAAAAAAACAAAAACAAACAAAAAAAAACACTTCAAAGTTTTACACAAAGTGAGGGGGTGTCACTTTGTATTTCTGCCCTCACTTAAATGAGAAATGAATAGTGCAATTAATTACATGTTCCACATGAATGTCACACCACAAACACCATTCTTTGATTCACATATTTGCATAAAGAAGAAAGCCCAGTGGTTTTAACATATTTTTTCCATCGATGTTACCCTGGACCACACCTACCTCCGGAGGGGGGGAGCAAGTACGTCACTGAAATAGAAAGTCACCGAATTTTACAAAACAGGATTGTTAAGATTATTTGCAAACATTTCTTTAAAAAAAAAAAAAAAAGGTGGGCATTACTCAGCAGTTTTAATAATTTTAACCCCCCCCGTCTCCCTCCCAAACCTGATCCCATTTGGAAAATGAAATTAAATAAAAAATAAAAACAGGGAAAAAGAAAAAGACTGTAAACTTTATCTATCATGGCTGTTCCCAGTTTCGCGGATCCTCATCTTACACAGTGCGGACCAGGTGGGGCCTTCAACATCAACACTGTAGAAAAAGTGAACATTTTTGCTTCCATGTGACCCTGATGTTTAAAATCTGCATTTTTCTCTCTCTCTCTCTAATAATTATAATAATAATAATAATAAAAACTTACATGAAATACCTGAATAATGACACAAATTAGCATTTTTGTTGTATACTAAATAACTTTCAAATATCTCTGATGGGAATTGCACTGCAACTCCCTGAGTCAAACTCACACATACACACATTTACACAAAAAAAGGTATGAAAACCATTTGCTACATCTGACACATAGGTAGTAGATATTTATATATATTTATATATTTTTTAGATATATATATATATAAAAAAATATGAGCAAAATTCAATTTGCACACTGCTACATTGTCTGCTGCTTTTGAGGCAATTTTATAATAGAAAAAATATGAGTGCCAAAAGTCAATAGTGTACATATTCAGTGCTTGTGCAGCCTTCTGATCCTCCTCCCTTCTTTCCGATAAAGCTGCTTTGTTTTTCTCCGCGTCTTCTGTCAGATGGTGAGGAAGCCTACAGCGGCAGGTCTCAGCGCTCTGTGGGACGCAGAGGAAAAGGGGCCGGTGATTCACTTATGCGTGATACTACTACTCGTGCATTCACGCACAACACAGAGCAAGAAAGCATGGGGAGGTGAGGAGGGGGTGAGAAAAACTGAAGACATGAGAGTGAGTGGTGATGTTTACAGCGGTTTTGCATGCATATTTACTACGTTCGCACGCAGAATAGAGAAGAGTGCAGCGGCCATTCAAAGCGCAATGAAGAGAAAATGGTTTCTAACCTGGCACCGTTCAGCATGGGACCTCCTCCTCCTCCTGCTGCTGCTCTGCCTGGCTTCCTGCACCGAGCGCCTGCTCTTCATCGTCGTCTTTGTCGGAATGCGACTTTTTGCCGTTACTCGTGCAATCGTCAGAGCAATGACCTGCAAAACCAAAATTGATGAATGCATAAAGTAAAAAATAAAAACAGAAACAAATAATAATGATGAAAAAGTTTGCACGAAGGAAACGCCTCCACTTTTCTTCAGATCGAGAAAAAGTCCCTCAGAAGAAAAACAAATAAATACGAATTTACGTAAAAATGTAGTCGTATTAGCAGTAGAAGTAGAAAAGCAAACATACTGCAAACCGCTGATGAAATTATTCTATTTTCTTCCTGTTTTATCTATTTTTAAAAACATTTTTTTAATGCATGACAGTTGCAGTAAAGAAATTAGTTTTCTCACCTGCAGATTGTAAAGATCGTTTCCGCGAACCGTTAGTGTGAGCCGACCGCCTCTCCCTCCTCGTCTCCCGGCTGCCTTCGCCTGCCTGTCCCCGGGGCGGCTGGCTCCACCGTGGTGGCCTGCGGTAAAACTCCGGCGCGTCTTCGTCCTCCTGCCAGTCGTAGAGCCCCGGAGAGAGCGGCCTGTCTTCCACCGGGTCGAAGTTGTACTTGTCCCTAAAAGCCTCCACGGACTGCAGCTGCAGAGCCTCCGCTTGCTTCCGCGTCTCCTCCGGATCAGGTGTGCCGAACAGCACCCTGCGGACCGACCTGGCGTTGTCCAGCTGCCGCGCGTCCACCCGCTCCACCGTGGGGCTCGCGTTAGAGAGGCGAACGTCTGACATGTTGTTGCACATATGACAAGAGAGAAGGAAAAAAAAAACGCAGCAAAAAGAAAGGAAAGAAAATGGAAAAAAACAAAACAAGGTGTCGGTCCCTTTAAAAACTGCTATTCCAAAGTAGTATTCCCTCCAAATACAAAGTCACACGAACGACGCATGCATCCTCCGCGCCTATCATCCAAATTACGCCTCAATAAAAAACGGAATGGTCTCCAGAAAGGGGGGTGTTTTTTCTTCTTTTTTTTTTCTCTTCACGCTACCACTCCTGTCAGGTTCGTAGTAAAAAGTCTGATGAAAACAAGTCAAGCCATAACAGCCAACATGGCGTTAAAGAGAGATGTGAGCGAAGGAGGAAACTTGACTATTTAAACAGAGAAGCGATTCGTCAGGCTGGAGCACCGCCCATACGCGGCAGTGGGAACAACTGCAGAGCAGAGAAGTAGTGCAGAAGTTTGGAGCGGAGGGAGCTTTTTTTTTTTTTTTTTTTTTTAAAGGGGGAAATCTGAACAGTGTGGCGTGCAAGCACCCCACATTTAGCTGCTTATTTTTGAGAGGAGGTAACCCTATAAAGACCTGGCGGAGAGATCCTCAATTATAGTTTTGTCTGGACTTTGACATCCTTACCTGTTAGGAGTCAATGTTGGTGAACCCCATCAAATCCAAATAGATTGGAGTTTGTGGTTGAAATATGACACAAATCACTACATTTGAGCACTTTGGCAAGGCTTTGCGTTTCCATCAACACCTTCTAATCGACACGTGAATATCTTTATACTCCTGCAGGATGAAACAGGCAGTAAACCTCCAGTAGTAGTAGTAATGAAGTGTCGCTCCGGGGCAGGATGCGCTATCACACGAATCAATCACTGCTCCATCTGATCTGGTGTCACATAAACACCAGCCAGTGGTAACTCTGTTAAGGCCGGGCGGGGCTTTTAGGGTCAACTCTGGTGAAGCTCGTCCACGACGAAGGACCAGGAAAAAAAAAAAAAAAAAAAATCTTCACCTCTGCCACCAATGACATCAGCTGAGGAGGCCTGATGTCACTGTTGGCTCGGCGCCTATCGCTGTGAGACTTTGGCACTGGTGTGGTTTGTGTGCTTCACTGGGTGTAATTGCTGATGTGGGTTTAAAATTTAAACACCAAAAGGAGAAGAAGGGAGGAGGGTAGGAGGTGTGTGGAGGGAGGGGGGAGGGGAGACGAGGTGGAGTTAAATTTATAGCAAACTCCTCCTCGCTGGGGATTTGTTTGCATGACTTTTGTAACAAGTGAATAAAATCAGCAAAAAAAAAAATCAGTCTCGCGTAAGTTTTACAATGTCCCAACATCCACTCCCCGGTGATTATCATCTGGATTCCTTTGCAGCTTTTTGCCAGTAAAGGGGAAAAAAAAAATAGAGAGAGAGAGAGAGAGAGAGAGAGAGAGAGAAGCCTGCCTTCAAGGCCATGTTGTTTCAATTAACCCTCGCAGAGTCTGAAAACATCTCGTGATAAAGGCAGCCGGGGCCATCTGTTATATAGATGTTATCGGGTTAGGATCACACTTAATCCATAACGTGCTTGTGCTGCTGTAAACGTGCACGCGGCCCTGCGCTAGAGCCAGCAGACCCAGGCTGGAAACGGACCTTTGATCGGGCTCAGCTGGATGGATGGGGGTGGAGGGAGGGGGGAATATAAGCGACGCAGCGGGAGGACGATCGGTTACGGCCCAAAAACGCAGAACCAACGGAAAATATTCCTCTCCGGGGACAAAAAGGAACAGGAATGACACCAAGGGATGAATCCCAAAAGCTACTTTTCAGTCCAACTGAGGAACTTTGTGTTGTTTGACATTTATTTAAAAAATATACACAAGTGCAGTAGGTTTACTGAAAAGATGACTTATGAAGTTTACTGCTTGATTACGATTTTATTTATTATTTAAAGACCCCCAGCTTCTCCAACATCATGATGCTGCCACCACCATATTTCACCATAAGAATGGCTCTTATGGTTCAAGGTGGACTTACCAGTTAAGGTGTAAAGTGGGCTGAAAACAAACAAATGCCACATTTTTCAGTCGAAACCCTTGTTTGTTTTTTATGTTCTGCTTGAAAATTATTCTCCATTAAACAAAACCTAAATTTATGTTTTTGGTTTGACGTAGATAAAAATGCTGAATTATTTGAAACATTTGTATATATTTGTTAAGCAGTAGCCAGTGCCAGCTAGTGTCCTTTAACATAAAGGATGCTTTTGAATTTCAAATGAAAAGCAGGACCAGTCACATTTTGTGCGACTTGATACGGTTCTCACACAATCCCCACCGGTACGTCTAGTGCTGAACGTTTTGTTCCACAAAAAGTACAAGTTCTGTTGCAGTCTGGTGAGCGTGTTGGAGGACCTCGTGTGTCATGAGACGCCGGACTTTGAACTCTGCTTCTTCTTTGCCAGCTCGGCCCGAATCTGATGGGGGAACTGGTCCAGGTGCTTATTCACGCACTGCATGCAGAACCTCTTGGTGTAGAACAGGCTGCAGTCCTGCACAAAAGAAAAAGCACAGTACGTACCCGACGGATGGTGCTTACATGACGTACAGTTACAAAATAACTTTTTATTAAACCACTTGTGTATCCAGGTGTTAATAGCGAGTGAAAAACGTGTGCAGATTCATGGTGCTTAAATGAAAGCACCCATACCTCTCTATTTACATAATAATACATACATAATAATAAGTAAGTAAACAAGGAATGTAATTAAAGGAAAGTAAATGTAACATGGGACACGTGTGTATCTTTTTTTAATCAGTAGATTATTTTATTTATGTTTTATCACATAGGTGTTCATGTGTCTTACCGGTCCAACACAGACACACATGTTGCATAGGCTGCATGCAGATCCCAACACCAGAAACTTCTCCTTATCCGGACTGAATGGATCCTTAGTCACAAAACATTCCTCAAGCAACCTGATAAAAGGTAGAAACAGCACTCAGGCTTCAATTTTACTTAACTTATCTATTCTTAAAAGAACTACTATGATAAAATATACGATTAAGATCATACGGTGCCCTGAGTACAACGCAGAAACTGTAGGAGTTACTTTTTGCACACAAACACCACACAGAAGATGAAGCTGAAGCGTTGTTAGCTTTAGCACAAGCTAGCACCAATACGGCTTCGCAAATGAGCGTTTAACGTAATTTCAACTTACACAATGGCTCTGGTGTTAGGTGGTTTCTGGCCGTAGTAGGTATATGATGTGCTCAAACCACATAACTGGCAACTGAACGTGTTTTGAGGGGTTTCAGTCGCAGTTTGCTCCATTGTTTAAAAGTAGAAAGTTGGTTTCAGTGGAAACCCAACCTGTTGTGTGAGCAAGTAGCGCCACCAACTGGAGTGGGGGTAATAAAACAACATATTGTAAAGTCCGTATTTTTATAAACAGAAACGTGATTATTAGTGGCTTTTGTGATTTATTTTAATTTTGATAATATATTAGTTGAGTCTTTTATATACCCAGCTATCAAAGAAAACATGAACTACATGATTAACTTTATTTACTAAATCTCATTTTTGTACATTTATATTACATGTCAAACCTTTTATTCATGTTAGCAGTATTCTAATCTCCTAAAAAAAACATCCCCAAAATAGTTTTGTGTTATGTCATGGTATAATTTATTTCATTAGCACTTTTAAGAACAGCAAAAACTGATGGAAGCACTTCACAGTTAAGTCAAACAAAATAATAAAATTCATACAGAGTAGAAAACTAACCGCGTTGTAGTAAAAAGTAACATTGTGTTCCCTAAAAATTAGCCCACAGGGCAACATGTACAAGATAAACAGCAAGTGGATTCAAAATGGACCCCTGGGAGCCCCAAAATGGTGAGCAACTACAGAGCAGGAATAATCCCTAACATGAATGGAAAAACTATCATATGTGAGACATGATTTAAACCAAGTAAAAGTCTGAAAATGTGTTTGGGTATTACTGAATAGAATGGTTTATTTACATTAGAGATCCCCTTGATAGTATGATTGGTGTAATGGCGAAGGAAAAGAAAGTCTGAAAAATCCTAGTTTTTGAATATTATTTCATTTGCAGACAAACGAGAATGGAAAAAAAAATCTGTATCATTGCGACAATTGGGACTGTGGTTTAAAATATAAATAAATTTACATCTTCATAGGCATGTATCTGAATGTAAGTCACAGCACTGCAAAAAAGAAACAACATTCTATATATATTAATTTATACTATACTTCTACAGAATAATTACTTTACAGAAACACTTCCATGTACTGTACATGATTTTAAAAAATAGAATATAAAACTTAATTACTGCATACAAGATTAATTCAAAGTCACAGATGAAAAAATAAGGCATCGATCTTCGTTATTTGGCAGCGCCTTACTGTCCTCCTCTGTCGTCATTGGATTCCTGATATATTTACAAAATACTGCATGGACCAGTTTAACAGATGAATATGTTTTTAGTGCAAATATTTAATACTGGCCAGTGACTTGAATTCACAGGACTCGCACAAAGACATGCTTTTACAGGCAACCTAAGCTGAGGTCTGAGTTTTCACGCAGCACTTTGAAAGATTCATATAAATGCGTAACATTAGACATTGTCATGTGTCGTAAATCTGCTGAAGCAGCACATGTTTACAGCACAGATTCAGGTATTTCTCTAGCATAGAAAAAAAGGCTAGATTAGGCAGATTTGAATAAATATGCACAATAAATAGGACTATTCTATCCCCACCTATGGACATCTGTGTTTCATACTGTTAAGCTTTAATCAGTGCATGTATTGCTTGAAGAATGTGCGCATAATTCAACTGCACTTTCAATTTATGAACAATAATATGAACTCTAACTCATTCTGTCAATACATGTCTCTGTAGATTTCCTGCAGGAGCGGATGCAGTGAAGTGTCCTCTGTTGTCTTGATATCCTGAACCAGCTGTGCGTGCTCTGTTACCAGTTCCCGGAGATCAGCCAGCTTCTGCAGCAGCCTGGGGAAGAGGAAAGCGTCATCTGGATGATTGGCCAGCAGGTGGAGCCGCAGGGCCTGGATGATGCTTTCCTGCAGCTGCTCCACCAGCGGTACATCCACCAGTCCCGGACGGTCTGAGAGGGAAGAACGGTTAAGTAATACCGGGTGCCGTTTGTAAAGCTACAGTAAAAAAAAAAAAATAACACCAATAATTTGGGTTATTAGCCTGTCATTAGAGGAAAAACATGGATGTTAAAGACATATTTTCTTCTTACCATGTTTTTCATTCACTTAAACGTCACAGTTTCAAATTAAATATTTTAACAGAAAATTAAATATTTAGCTCTAACATAAATATTTAGTTAGCAAGCTAGATATTTAGGTAATATGCTAAATCATATTTAGTTTTAATTGGGAGCTAATATTTTGTTTGTATCTATACTTAGGAGCTAATAGCTTACTAGCTAAGTATTTAGTTTGGAGCTAAATATTTAGCTAGCTCAGAGCTAAAAGTTTAGTTTGGAGCTGCTAGCTTGTTGGTAACTCCAACACTCCACATGTAGCATTGAGTTAAATATTTAGCTTGCTAACTAAGTATTTAGTTTCAACCTGACCGTTAGCAAGCTGAATATTTAGCTTACGAATGAATAACGTGGTGAAAATATGATTTTGAAAAAAGAACCCCTACGTTTTGTTCTCATTTCAGGCATAATGACCCAAATTATTTTTAATTTTGGACTGTGTACCTTTAAGAATGCCAATCCATAGAGTAGCACTCTCACTTTACTTGGGAAAAAACAATGGATATGCTCCCAGAAAATAGAGCAAGGTTACCTCCACAGCAGATGATAGCTGCCACAAAAAGGGCCAGGTCACTGTCATCCAGACCTAGAGAGTTGAAACGAGTGGCAAACTGGAATTTGGGCTCCATCATGTCGCTGAAAGGCCGCCGGAGACCTTTGAGGAATTCTCGGGTGATGAAGCCTCCGCCACGTGCCACGAGGAGGCCATCTTTGTTCATACATGAGGCCAGAAGGGTGAAAAGGGCTTCATAAACCGCATATTTCAAGAGAGTCACCTTGAAATATGAAAAAAAAAAAGAATAAAAAAAGGTATAAAATCTGCCTAAACGTGGGCTAGCTCCAGAATAAACCACAAGTAATTGATTCTTTTAATCAACCTGATCATTCAAATCCAAGCTCTGAAAGCCGGGCACAGCTTTAGCGAACTCTGTTAGCTCTGTGACCGTCTCCACTGAGGTACTCTGGCAGCAGTAGAAGAGCCTGGCCTCAGCCTCCCGTTGCTGGAGCTCCTCACAAACCAGCGCTGGGATTATCTGTCCAGTTTGAAGATGAAGGTCGGGCTCCGCAGACTCAGTCCTTACCATGTGGGCCGCTAACGTCTTCTCGGCAAGCTGAAACGTCTCCATGTCATGGATGATAAAAGGCTGTCGATGAAGACAATGTTTGTAAGTTGTGCATAGTACAGGGCTAAAGGGGACAATTCTCTTAGTCATTTTATAAATAACTTGAAATAAGACAAAACTAACTTACAAGTAACTTTACAGGAACATCTAGGAGCTTTTTTTCAATAAATAATTCCTTAATATTGATTAAAAGTACATTATAAGTGAAATAATATGCCAGTGGGACAAGACATTCTTCCCATATAACCTATGAGGAAAATGTCTTATTACTAGTTACTTTTCATCAATATTAAGGAACTAGTGACCTAAAACAATCTCCTATGGCGTTCTGAAAAGCTACATGTAAGTTAATCTAGTTTTATTTCAAGTATTTGCACAAGGAACTAGACCAAAAATGCTTAGTAAGATTTTGTTTTTGCAGTGTTTGCACAAGGAATGTATGTGGGAGGCAGCGCGTCACCGATGAACTTTATGAGTGAGACATGAGCTGGAAAGAGGAAACTTGCGTGGTTTCTTCAGTCAGTTACTCAGACGTAGATGTAAAGAACTTTAAAAAGTAGAAATAGTCCATCCAGTATTTCACAGATTTTTAAACGTTCTTACTTTCATACTAACACTGACTGGGAAAGCCACGTGTTTCTTCCATTTCCTGTGCGAATAGTCATGGGTTTCTCTGTAAGTAACCATCCAATCCAAACCTGATGTTGGCTTAGAGATTCTTAAAATAGTGTTACTAGAAACTGGTGGGATGCTTTTTGACACTGGAGATTATTTCAAGATCATCCACTCTTGTATTGGTCCCTCTCAGATTAGCTGCTAGCTTTAAAGCTCAAACTTATTTTTACCGATACTAAATGAAGACATCAAAGACTTATTTACTACAGGTAGTACAAGAAAGTTTAAAACCTTTATCAGAAATCCCAAACTTTATCTTTCATTTGCAATAAAAAGCATTCAATTTTCTTATTCTTTTACCGGCTGACTGGTTTTTCCGGTCAGTATGAGCCGGGCTTTTGCCTTGTTCATGTTGAAGTTCTTGATGTAGGCTTCGTGGATCTGTCTGACCAGGATCTTGTGGTCGGCCTTGACCGGATCTTCTTCTTCTGTTTCAACAACCTTGCTTTCCTCCTTGAGCTTCAGCTTTTCTGCTTGGGGCATGCGACCAAACCGGATGGCTAGAGGACAGAAGAAGTCCTATTAATTTCATAACATGCACAGAAAGCAGATCAGATTTTACCAAATACAGTTTAAGCAATTCTGCTCCGTGTTTCTTTTCTTCGGTGCACCATACGGCGCCTCTCACGTTTCAACCTACTTTAAGGGGTCCGTGAAACAAACCCGCTGACCTCCCTGCAGTCACAGCAAGTGATGGACCAGATGTAGACACGTTCTGAACCAGCTGCAACAGGACGTGGTTCTATAAATAACCGGCGGTGTAAAGGATGTAAAATCCCCAGCTAAATCACAGAGGGACATGTCCCACCGCTGTGAAGAGCACATGCAGATTCTGACTGAAAAAGATCTTCACTGTCATCCTGCACGGCTGCTTTCATAAATCTTACAGCGATTACATCTGAGCATGTTTTTTTTTTTTTTAATTGTCTGCAGTGATGGGAAATGCAGGGCTGTGACGAAACCAGGAACTTCTTTCAGCTCTCAAATGGCTACACGACTTTCTTGCAGCCATTATCTAACATCCATCCTGATCCATGTTGACACAACACAGCATGAAGTGATCCAGTACATGCAGCTTAGACAAAGGAAAACAGAGAACAAAACAGAAAACACAGCAGCTCCCAAACCAACACTTCGTTAGTGTCAAGCATATTGCTAAGCGTTTGTTTCCAATCACTGTTTGGGTTCATCAAGTTTCTTTTTTTTTTTTTAGTACATATTGAATTATCTTTTTTAGTTTGCTTTATTAGTTTTACCATTATTTTTCAAATTTTTGTTAACCTGTAATCAGAATTTTGTCAAGTTCTTTAGATTATTAAAATCATGATGCAACTCTTCTTTTTTTTTTTTTTTTTTTTTATTTGAAAACCCATCATTTTTTTCCAAAACAGAAAAAAAAAATATTAAACCCTTTTTTTTTTTTTTTTTTTTTATTTGAAAACCCATCATTTTTTTCCAAAACAGAAAAAAAAAATATTAAACCCTTTTTTTTTTTTTTTTTTTTTATTTGAA